GGTGGGCTACGATGGTTCGAGAAACCTTAGTTGGTAAACAATAGAGGTTTCATGTACTATAGTCAGTGGGCGACGGAGGTCAGAGAGATTATAATTGGCAAATGATGGAGGTCAAAAGGACCATAGTTATGTAATGGTGGTCGGAAAGACTGTAGTCAGGCGACGATAGTCAGAAGGATTGTAGTCGGGTGATGGTACGTGGCCGGAAGGACTGTAGTAGATGGGCAATGGAGACTAAAAGGACAATAGTTGGGTGATGATGGTTAAAAAGACCGTAATCAAGTGATGGTGGTCGAAAGGATCATAGTCGGATGATGATGGTCGAAAAGACTGTAGTTGAGCGACAGTGATTGAAAGGACATGTGATGCCCCAGAATCAAATAGTGAAAGGATTCGTCTGACATTCTGATCGAACTCCATTCCAGTTGCCTTGCTCGGACCTGAAAATTTAAACCACATATAATGAGCTTACAAAGCCCACCAGGTCACCAAAGCCTACAACTGAAATCAAAGCACGGCGATGCTATCAATATGCAGGTTAATATAAAATCAAGTCAATCAATGGTCAATGAGTCTATGCAATACGAAAATCCAGAGTCAATGAAATCAAGTCTGCACAGCGGAAATCAAATCAGTAAGTGACTGGAAGCCAATATCTATTCATCGTAGCAGTGTCTATCAATCAATACTATCAGTTCAATCAATCGTGTCGTCTAGTCAATTCAATGTATCTATATCATGCAATACGATAAATCAATAAAATCAATAAATCCGTCAAATCAATCAATCAATCAAATCCAGTCTATACGATCAAGTCGATCAAATCAATCGGAAAAGAAATACGATAAATCAATAGCAGCGAGTCAAATCAATGCAGGATCAATAGTATCAATGAATCTATGAATCTATGCCGTCCATGTCCATGTCCGATGCAGAATCAATGGTATCCATGAGTCTATGAATCTATGACGTCCATGTCCATATCAATATCAATGATCAATAGTCAATGAAATCAATGCTCAATGATCAATCAATGAAATCAATGAATCCGTACGATACAGTAAATCCGTAATTCCATGCACATCAAGAAATCCATACGATGCAATCATTCAAATCTTACGCATATCAATTCAATCTATCAATTCCAGAAAATTCGGAAATCATACGAAAATCGGGCAGCGTAACGGCAGTCGGTCGAATTTACACAAAAATCCTGCAAAAAGGCACAAATTCCAAATCTTTCCAAATTACAGACGAAGATCCATAACATCAATATAAGACTATTGCCCTATAGAAATCAAATCAAATCAAGTCCCGATAATTTTCTATTCGATTAAAATCGCGTAGAATCAATTCCGACCGGTAAAATCTTCGTAGAATACAGTCAAATCGTGTGCAATAATCATATCTATAACATATCAAAAGTTGTGCGGTGAAAGTTGTGCCAAATCCAAATCACGTCGAAAAGTCGACTACGAAAACACAAAACAAATCATAACTCGGTCAAAACTCAATATCTTTGAAAACAGAAATAGGATTCGGAGTCCTTACCACGAGATCTACACTTTCTCCAACAGCAGCGTCGGACGAAAAGCGCTCCGCGGCCTCCAAAACCAGGTTTTCCTCTTTTTCCCTTTCTCTTTCTCTCTCCTCAAAATATCTGATTTTATAAAAATGATTTTCTCTCTCCTCAAAACGACCAGATTTTCATTTATCCTTAGTCGGATCGGCCCGGCCGATCGCTAGATCGTCCCAGGACGATCAGACCAAAAACGATCGGCCTGGACGACTCCCAGAACTATTCTCAGGCCGATATTTTCTACAGTGCCGATCGGCCTGGACGATCTAAAATCGTCCTGGACGATCCTGAGAGGAAAAATCCAAATCAGAGAGGAACAGTAAGGGAACGAGGTCTCACAGGACAGTAGTCGGTAGACGACGGAGGTCAAAAGGATCGTAGTTGGGCGAATGTGGTTGGAATGACTATAGTTGAGTGACGGTGGTCGGGAGGACCTTAGTTGAGAAAATGTGGTCTGAAGGACCGTATTCCGGCAATGGTGATCTAAAGGATCATAGTCAAACAATGATACAATTAAGATTCCCCTCGCACCCATGTGGTTGTCTGCCTACATGTCTCCAACCTGCACTTCCATGTCAAATGGATGTGACACATTTAGCCCCCCCTGCACGCTCTACTCAAAACACATGGCTCAATCTATCAGTTTGTTGTGACCCCATCATCCGCCCCTACTCCTGCACCTGAATTCTTTTGATACATGGGGAGTATGATACGGTGTATCTTAGGAATAGTTTACCTATTTTCATATTTGTTTTCTAGAAAGTTCTTTTGTTCTATTATATAAAAGTGTTAGAGGACAATATGACATAAAATTTTATTTTTGGAATTAGTTCTCTAGTTTTGAGTTCTTTGTATCTTCTTCAATGATCCCCATTACATTACAAATCATATTACAGCAATAATTTTTTGTAAAGGTCATAACACATTTAAGCTCAGTTATATATATTAGATAATTCATATTTTTGATCTTTAATTGTTATTCACAATGATAAGAATAAAGTACATGAACTATTTAGGAAACTATCAAACAATAAACATGGTAACGCAAACTATCAGATCATGTCAAAATGATAACTTGAAATACTGTGAATGAATTAGCACATTCTACCATATATCATCAACATATAATAAGTAGCATGGGATAAGCACCTAGCAAGGAAGAGTATATTTATCTCTTACTAAGTAAAGAGTTACCTACCAAATAAAAACCATCAACTGTTGAATATTTCAATCATGATGTCATCCCTATCACTCCAACACATGAAATTACACAAACCCTAAATTCATAGGAATTCAAATCAATCATATATTCAATATATGGCACATCATCATATTAACCAATAAAAATAATCTATTAAATGTATTTTTTATCAAAGCTTTTACCATGCTCCTTAATTTATTCTTCATAATTAATCTCAAATATTAATGTTTCTTTAAGACCTCTCATATAAATATCTTTCACCATGACTTAATGAAATATTTGATAATTCTTTAAAAATCAATTCTCATAAAGGTCTATTTAAATGTTAACTCTAAAATACATATACACGCATGTAATCAATTTCCTCAATGCATAAAATAGCTTCTCCTAAATAGTAAAAATTAAATTCCCCTAACATAAATTTCTACTAATCGTAGCTTTAGAACTAGTTTAAAAATATACATGTACAAGTATTACTATATGCCAATGTCTACTACATTATAGATTTGATTGTTACACATGATAAGTTAATATTGAATCTATATGGTTAAATAAATACAACAACAAAGACAACATAAAATCATATGCCACTAATCTCTCAATTTAATTGTTGAAATAAAAATTTAAATGCTAAAAAAAATCACAAAACATCAGAAATATTTATTTTATGCATGATTCATCTCAAGACCTCTAAAAAATTACATTAGATTTTAAAAATAACTAACATTTATCCACCTAGAAAAAAACTATAAAAGTTTAAAGCAAATTTGGTGTTAGAGTGTACCTAATTCAAATTTTGATGAAGAAATTGATGATGTTAAAAAAGGAAAAAAAGATGAGATATTCTTGATTATCCCCCTTTTTTCCTTCACTCAGCCTCCTCTCCTACAGCTTGAGTGAACAAAGTCATCTAATAGTAAAGTTACTGAACCACAAAGCCTTCGAGCACGCCATGGCCACTCATCTCCATTGCTAGCGCATCACATGCCATAGGAGGCCAACAAGAGCACAACCATGCCCTCAATTTCCCGCTCACAAGCCGCATAACGTCCTCTCTCTCTCTCTCTCTCTCTCTCTCTCTCTCTCTCACGCGTGCGCGCGCACAAATCATTCCCTAAGTCTCGATTTCAATCTTAAAGGTGTGGGATTGCCTTAATGGGGTGTGAGACAATGTGAGTGAACCAGGTCGGTTCAGCTTCCCCCTTTTTTGAGCTATTACATGTCTGAATTTAATCCTCCAACCATTGCCACTCAACTACAGTCGTACAATCACCATCATCTAGCTATAATCATTCAACTAACGCTACATGATTACAATATTCCAATTATCCAACTTTCATTACTGGACTACAATCCTCCTACCATTATTGCACTACTACCATTGTTGCTCGACTATAGCCCTTTGACTTTCATCACTTTACTCGGGCCTCTATTCACCATCGTTAAGCTATGATCCTCTTACCAAAATCATCTTACTTCAGTCCTTCGATCATAGTCACATGACTATGATCCTCCAATCATCTTACTTGACTATGATCCCCCAAAAACTACACTCTTATATGATCCTTTAAACACTATCACCTTATTATGATTCTTTGATCGTCGTTCAACTATGAAACTCTAACTATTAATGCATAGCTATGGTGATGTTGTGAAAATTCATCACATGTTGTTGCTAAAAACATTAATTTATGTCATTACCTACAGGTCAATGAACATTGTCGACATCAACTCTTACTCTTGATGCTAGCACTAATATTTATAGTGAACTTCTTGCTCTCTGATCTACTCCCCTCAAATGAAGATGATCAATAAAAAACAAATGATCTATTGAAGACAACCCTTATGCCACATGACTCTTCCAATTTCTACAATGAAATTAAAGAAAGCAATCAAATTATAGAAATATAAGAAATTAAAAAAATAATAACACTAGAAAAATTAAAATTTCATCTAAAAAAAGATAATCACAAATCATTTGAAAAAAAATATGATAGCAAAATGGAGATAAATCTCATACATTTTAGAATAGTTTATTTTTAAATAATGATGAAAATAAACCATTTGTAAAATATTTATTTTAGAGCATAAAGGTCTAAATTTTCAAATTTCATCATCCAACAAGCCCTTATAAAATTTTTGCATAATATTTCATCTCACTAACAATTGCCTAAATTTACGAAATGATAAGGGGGACAACACTAATAAATGATTTTGATAAGGTATATGCGAAAATAGTTGGGCCTGGTTCGGATTCTTCCACCAGCTTAAACGCTATAAAAATAGGTTAATCTGTAGCTAACCCACTCTAACATCTCCCACATTCTCTTATCAGCTGCATCGGCGATTCCGATCGGCAGAAACAGAGGTGAGAAACCCTTGCCTTAATCTACTTCTAGGTCTCTGGATCGGCCTTTCGATCGGCTAGATTTGTCATTTCTTCTTGTTTATGTTGTTGTTTTAGTTGGGATTTTTTAACTGAAGAAGCCGGCTCTTTTAGGGCTTCTGCTTCGTTTGGGGTTTCATTCGTTGCAGATTTTGAAATTTTGACTGTTGTTGAATTGGATCTGATTTTACAGCGTACCTGTTCAGACCGATCTTTGGTTTATCTCGTTTCGCTTATTTTCAGATAGTGCAGAACTTATTATGTCATCCCTGTGAATCAATATGTTTCTTCTCCATTGCAATTATTGTGATGTTGCATACATTAGGTCAGATTCAAATTTGGTTGGTATACGTTTTAATTTGCGTGCTCTTAGAACCGATCGGTGATCCATTCGCGGATGGAACATTAATGTTTTGTCTCCGCCGGTAATTCTGATTTGAATAACATTAGGTGAGAAACCCTTACCTTAGCGTGCCTTCGATAGCCTAGATTTGCCATATCTGCCCGTTTTTGTTTCTTTCCTCCACGGGCTTTGCTCAGGAGGCGGATTCTCTTAGGGTTTGTCTCGGTTCGGAGCTGTATTCAGCTTTTTTATTGATATTTTGACGGATATCGAGTTTGATCTCGTTTTTCAGCTTACCACTTAAGATCAGTTTATGATTTGTTCCTTTTCGCTTATTGGCCATGCATAGAGTGTTCACTTGTTTTCTTGTTTATCAATCTGTTACTTCCCAGTTGCAATTATTGTGATGTAGTATGAATGAGTTGAGATGGTTGGTTAGCTTTGACTTTGGTCAGTACACTCTTTAATCTGACTATTCTTTAAACTAATCGTTCATACTTGCTGAAGATGGAAGATTGATGTTGTATCTTTGCTGGTGATTCAGATCCGAATAACTGGATTTTGGAACCCTTACCCTAATTGCGGATGGAAATTGATCTATTATGTTCTGGTGGACAATATATCAATCATTTGTGACTTCTTTCTCCTTAATAATTTGATTAGCTTATTTTCCTTTTTAATTTAAGAGTAAAGATGAACTTTGGATATAGACATTGTTCTCTAATTTTCCCATGTGTCATTCTGGTTCATCCCCAATAGTTTAATGTGTTATAGTTGAGTTGAGATGGGCAACTAGCTTGAAATGGGTCATGTATGAATTAATTTTGAGTATTCTTAGACCTTATTGGTCTCCTACTTGCGGATGTTAGATTCTTCTATTATAATCTCGTAGACAATATATCAATTAGCTTTGACTCCTTCGTATTCAAAAAACAACATAATTGGCCTGGCTTTCTCTTTTTGACAAAGAGGGTATAGGAATTTAGGATAATATTAAGGATGAAAGTAAGAATCTTTTATTTGAGGTGATTTGTAGCACCATACGAGACTAGGCTAATTTGGTACTAGAGTTTCATGTATTTTATTTACTTACCATAAGTATATACACAATTTAATTTGTTCATAACTTATTCTCAATAGGCATTAACTTGACCAACATGGCAAGTTAATTGTAGAGTTGGGAAAGTTTTTATGGAAGAGCTAAATGAACAAAATTATGAAGCATGGTATAGATTGACTACAAATGTAAAGATAAGTTAGCTTTGAAAAAAAGCTGGAAGTTGAAGAAAGAGTTAGGTTCTGAGCATTTTATTTGTTTAGTGTAGGAGATTCATTGGAGATATTTGAGTAGTGTATTTTATAGATATTTTTAATTAAATCCTAATGATTTAAGCGTTAAATTGATGGGGAAGAAGAATTTTGGCTCATTTGTAAAAACAAAGAAAAATCTTAGGATTGTAGTAACCATAGGAGAGTCAAACTTATGGGGCATAGAGTAAAGTTATGAGGAAGGGTAATGAAACAAAAATTGTGAATAATGATATTGGTATTAAAAATCTAATTTGATTTTATGCTAGAAAGAACTACTATGAAGGTATTTTAGTGTCAAGGATATTAATGTAAATATAAAGAGCAATGAAAGAAATTCAGGTGATTTGCTCAGCTTAGGGAAGCATATGATCAGATACTAATAGAATGTATTTGCCTTGCAATAAAAGGAACATGTTACAAGTATATTGAAGCCATTGATATACTTCTGATGGGTGGGTTTTAGGCTTTGTTTGGGACGGCTTTCTACCGCTTCTTAAAGCAGCTTTCTAGTACAAAAATCCAGCTTTAAGAAGCAGTAAGAAAATCATCCCAAACAAAACCTTAATCTGCGTATTAGACCTGTTCAATCGCCCTAGAGAAAGAAATATTGTTTTTTAATGTTCTGGCAGATTTTAGATCAACTAGTTATGACTTTTGCTCTCAAAGTTTTAGTTAGCTGATGTTCCTATCATGAAAATCTGCTAATTTAGGTTAGTACGTAGTGCAGTAGGATGAAATAGGATGAAAGTAAATGATCAATTGTTTGAGATTATTCGCGGCCAGCTGCTGATGTCCATCCAATCTGGCAAATTAGAATATCATGTGTTTTCATTTACTTCTAAGTATACATAAAGTTTAATGTGTTCATAATTGATTCAATTATTCTCAATGCACATTAAATATGCTGAGCTGCTTGTCAATTCTTGAGTAGGTAAGGTTTGTTAAAGGAGCAAAATGAAACAAAATTGTGAAGCATATTAAACATTGATTAAAAAAGGGGAAGTTTACTTCCAAAAAAATTGTTTACTTCCAAAAAAATTGTTTGAACATAAACTAGAATTAGGCCTATGTTGGAGAGTCATTAGAGATATGGGAGTTCTATAGTTAATGAAATGCACAAAATTGAGAGGGTGTTCAATTATTAAAAAAGAAATTTTTTGGCTTGTTTATAAGAACAAAAGAAACATTTGAGATTATGGTAATGATAGGAGAATCAAACTTATGAGCCTTTCAAAAAAGTTATAGGATCATATTACAAAGGAAAGATTCATAAAATTTATATTTGTGGTAGAAAAGTAATTTGATTTTATATCGAAAGATTAATTCTATGTTATGAAAGGTAGAGGCAGACCTAAAAAAGCTTAGTTAGAAACTATTAGAAATGACCTTTTTATTAGATTTAAAGAAAAATTTGACTCTTAATAGGGCACAATGGAGAAAAATGATTCATTTAGTCAACCCCACGTAGTAGGATAAAGACTTGATATTGTTATTGTTGTTGTTGTCAAAAAAAATTGTAAAGAAATGATTTTTGTGCCAGGTCAAATTATTATTACATATAAAGTGCAATGAAAAATTTTAAGATGCTTTCAATTATATATGATTTAAGCAATACAAGAATGAATTTGACTATCACTAAAATGTAAATGCGCATGAATTTGATTTATTGCATGAGAGAATGAGATGAAGACAATGGTTGGGATCAATGCTTGGTGTGGTCAACAGGAAAAGATGCTTCAAGAATACTACTAGAATATTATGAAGACAGATAAATCTAACAAGGTCATAATGAAACCAACTATGCTTTATGAATTTAATTTTGGGTTCCTAAGTCAATGACAGCCAAGTTAAATATCGAGGAAGTGGAAGTATTAAAAGAAATGTGTGGTCTGAAACGGTCATTAAGTTGTCTCTAATATAATATGTAGGTTTCTGGCTTTAGAATATCTAGCTGGCCTCTCTAACAAAACAGAACTTAAGGCTTCGTTTGGGACAGCTTTCTTACTGTTTCTTAAAGCAGCTTTCTAGTACAAAAATTAAGAAGCAGTAAGAAAGCCGTCTGTCTCAAACGAAGCCTAAGTTGCATTTCATTATAATATTGTAGCTTCTCATGATCTCTGATGCGTTCTTATTTCATTTGAGCTTGAAAACTTGTTCAGGTAGAGCAGCAGGCGGATATCCAGTTAAGTGGGAATGGGTCGCGGCGTGAGCAGTGGTGGGGGGCAGAGCTCTTTGGGCTACCTATTTGGGGGTGGTGAGGCTCCCAAACCTGCTACTGACAACACAAACCCTGCTCGCAATGCAAATCCAGCACCAGTTGATAACAGCAAGCAGATTCCCGCTGGCATCCCAGGAAATGTCACAAACAATTACTTTCGAGCTGATGGCCAAAACAATGGAAATTTCATTACTGTATGCATCTCTCTATCCAAAATCTGTTTTCCTATTTCTTACCTGCAGTTTTTAAACTGTTTCTCCACGGCCTTCTCCAACCGAACTCCAAACACATGAATGGCGTCGCTTGCGAGCTCCAGCCGAAGGGCAAAACTTCCAGTATTTAGTTGTAGGTGAACAGTGCGACGTCAATATTCTGCGCTATTTTTCTGTTTCTACCGGATTTGCCGAAGAAACGTGCTGAGGAGAAAGATGGTTATCCGGGCGCAAAATGGAGTTCGATTGGAGATGAATCACACTATTTTTTAGTTTCACTGTATTTTGGAGTGAAGAATGAAATTTTCGATTGGAGATGCCCTAACTCTCTAACATTCTCTAACATGACGACACTTTCAACATGTGATTCTCAAAGTGACCGTAGCTTTTTGCTTGTGCAGGACCGACCTTCAACCAAAGTCCATGCAGCTCCAGGCGGGGGTTCCTCTCTTGGCTATCTCTTCGGTGATGGAACCAAGTGATTCTTATCTTGGGCGAGTTTCTCCTGGACAATACAAATTAGAAGGGTTTGTTATCCTTTGTTGTGAACTGGTGCATCAAAACTTAAGAAGAAGAACTCTGAAATTTTTCGCTGATTACCTCTTTTTTTTTTATCTTTGGTTCTGTTGTGTAGTATTATAATATTGCTTTCTTGTGGGAAGTTTGTCTTTCGTGAGAGACATCTTGATGGATGATTGGGAAAAATAGTTGATTAATCCATCTGTATCTGTAGACTCTTATTGAAATATGTTGTTCCTTATCTGGTTTGTTCTCTTTGATGACGAGGAATTGTTTGCTGCCACGCTCGGGCTTTTCCCGAGCACGCTTGGCGGTTCCTAAACACCGACCGACCTACCGGGCCACCCACGCCTATAGTACCCGCAGCCGGTGCTTAGGGGCCCCACTTAAGGGCGACAGTTCGTTTCCCTTTTCTTGTGTTTTTATTGCTATAAAAGCATATTTAATTAAACCTTTTAACTTAAAAAAAAAAAATTAAACCTTTAACTTTCGGGGAAAAAAAACTTAAAAAGTCTATTAGTTGATCATTATTTATTGGTAATTTTGTTGAAATTTTTTTTTTAGTACTATTAAATTTAGATTTTGGGGAAATGTAGCTTCAGCAATGGTTTGTTTACATTAGCATTTCTGATTCAGTGAATGAATAATCTTTTTATTTGTGCTTGCTTGAGTGTATAGATTTATGAGAAGACAGAATGTTTGGTACGACTTTATTACGGTTTTTTAAAGCCGTTTTTTAGAAAATTATTTTAAGAAACAATAAAAAAGCTCTTCCAAATGAAGCCTAAAAAAGAGATTTTTTTTGTGGTGAAATGAAGCTTTAGCAATGATTTGTTTACATTAAGCATTTCTGATTCTATGAATGAAAATTCTTCTTCTTGAGTGTATAGATTATGACAAGGCATATTAGGACATGTTAAATTTCCTTACATTAAAAAAATTAATGAATTAGCAATTTTGAAATATGTTCTGATTTCTAATATAGAAAAATGTCAAACATGAAAAATACCATAGAAATCTATGATTAGTAGAGAACTAATAGTATTATCTTTGATAAGTGAAAAATCATACCTCAGAAATGGGTAACACAATCATTTTTATTGATGATTATTATTCTTGATAAATTTATATGCATTACTTAGAATAAAGATAAGTAAGAATTTGAATTTTATAATATATTTAGATTTGATGTTGTAAGAATTTGAATGTTTTTAGTTGATCTGAACCTATCAATGTGACAAACCCAACAACATGAAAAGTGTTTCAATTTGAGCGCAAATAAGCTCAAGTCTAGCTCTTAAGGCGTAGTTGGAAATTTCGCAACATAGATTAAAGTACCAAATGGTCTCTAAATTTTGAGTGCTTAATGTCAAAAAGAATGTCTTCATGAGAGAAATTCAATAAGTCTAATATCACTCAATTTTGTGGTCATTAAGACACTTAAATGTTAAAAAAATAGTCTATAATAACTCAATTTTCAAAGGCTAAGCTTTTAAAAATATAGATTCCTATTACACAAAGATTGAGAGTTTATTAATTATTATTACTTCCAACACCTTAATTGTAGACATTACTTTAAGTTTTTATATTTATACAAACATAAAGAAGCATACATTCAAAGGTTAAATAAATAAGAAATATTATTTCAAAGCCAAATTTTGAGTTACCATATCTATATGGTGTAAACAAACTATTCATTAGGTTTTTTTTTTTTTTAATAGACTTCTAAAATCTTCAGTTGTTTCCTTAGCTTTCAACAAGTGGTTCCTTATCATCACTACTTAGCACTCAACATCTATATCAAGGAAAAAATCAAGCTCTCCTTATTAACATCTTTGATTGCTACATCAACGATGTGATGATAAATTTGTCTGATGATCAGTCAAAGACAAAGACAAATCTTTGGCACATTTATGCATATGCATAATAGTTCGATACTCCTAATAGAGTAGTATTATAGACTTTCAGAGAAGAATGTGCATCATCTATTTGGAATAGTATCAAGCCTCTACAGAAAAGAGTACCAACACTTGCAAATAAGGAATTATACATCTCCTATATATGATAGTGGCGAACCTCTTTTAAGAGGAGAAACCAAGATTTATAAAGCGAGCATTGGAGTTTGTGTTTTCCCGTAACTATACTTATAGAAGATAATTTGATGTGTTTTATAGAAAAATATTGGAGACTGAAAAGGGGAATACAATCTTCCTATACATTATATTGTTTAACCCTTTTTAAGAGAAGAAAAGAGAGCCTACCAATTTAGAATGTGAGTTTTCCCCCTCCCCAATGCAGACTATTTCTATTTGAAGAAATGAGAGTTGTAGTTTTTTCTTAGAAATTCTAAAACATGTCTCAAAAAAATTTGCAATTTTTTGATAGCTTTTTGAAGCATTTATGGCTTAATTTAAAAATAATATATATATTTTTAATAAAAAATCGCTCAAAACATTACCTTATACATTAGAAGAAAAATGAAAAAATATATATATCGACATGCCTATAGAGAGGCATGTTGATGCAGACATAGTGGTTGGTCAGTTAGGCGGACGTAGTCTTATCAAGTATGTATAGGTTCAATTTTGTGCCTTAACAATTAGGATCCATACCATTTTTCAATGTTTTGGATCCAATATTAGTATTTTTTTTAGCTCAATTGAGCCTCTATAACTAATTTTTAGCAAACTTGAGAAATTTAGGGTAATTTTTTAATCAATTTTTGCTCTAGTTGACATGCCAATTTAAATGAATAGTCAAATTATAATTTAGGTAATTTATTATGTTCATAGCCATGAGTGGTGATTTTTCTTAAATTATAATTTTAAATCATAAATTTCTTAAAGACTCAACATATTTGAGGTTGACACAGATTTTGACTTATGAAAATAAAAGACAATTGATATGCACACAAAAAAAAATTCCTTCCATTTAAACATGAATCTTAATGTACTATGAATTAAAAAATTTGGTAAGTAAATTCATGACCCTATGAACTTCAATTACACCAAAATTATAATCGATCTAGATTTCTTGATGAGGCAAATCCAACAAAATCAAAAGTGCTCCAACCATAGCCCAATCAAGCTAAAATTAAGCACTTAAAGCATAATTAGAAATTTTGTAACATTAATTGAAAGACCAAATAACCTCTTAAGTCCTATGTACATATAGTTAAAATAAGCACCTTGATGAGAGAAATCCAATGAGCCTAAAATAACTCAATTTTGAAGTTATTAACATATTAAAAAAAAGGTTTTATTATCAAGGGAATCAACAAAAACCATCCGACGGAATATTTTGTGATTTTGGTTAAATTTATCAAAGTTTCACTTAAAAAAATTATAAATAGACCATCATTCTTTATATAAAAAGAAATTTGGACCTTAACTTGAAATTGAAGATAGCTTGGAAAACTAGAGATCCCTACCTGATGATCGATGTCAACAAACACCATCATTAATCACCATTGGCCATCTGTTATAGCTAAAATGTCATTTATTGGTTGATGTCACCCAACTTTTGCCACCTGACCATCGTTATCCAATTGATGTTGCCCCGACCATCATCATCCTACTACTACACCTTGATCATTAGTGCCGAACATTGGGTAGAGCTCTAAAGTTCTTCAAATGTGTAAGATCTCGCCAATCTCAAGTCTAGGTCATCTTTATGTGGAGAATGAGAGTTTATTTATAATATTTTAATATAAACATTCTAGTAAATCTAACTAAAACTTCATAACATTCTATTAGACAATCCATATTGAACCCTTTGTCAGAGAATGTTAATTTAGCATATAAGAGTTTTTCTAATCTCAAAATTGCATGATTTTAGGTTCATTTGATTCGTCTTATCAAGCCGTTTGATTTGACTATAGGTATGCAAGATTTTAATTTTTTTTAATCTGACAATCAATATCCCATAGTTTTTTACCATGCTTCAAGTGCTTGATTTGTACTCATTTGTATTTGGATTGGATTACTTTTGATGTCGTTGAGTTTTTCATGTCAAGAGGCCGATTAAGTAAATTTTCATAAGACATATTAAGAAATATAACAGTTGCCCGCAAAGCAATACTGTGCACACTCATGATAAGAAATAAATTTGTTGTGTACGTGCTAGAATATACGCGGCGGTAGAGTTTGTAAATTCGCGTCCGAGCGTTGTACGAGTATTCATCACACAAGCAGAAAAGAGAAGTGGACACCAAGGTTTTTACGTGGAAAACCCGAAAGAGGGAAAAAACCACGGGGCCTCGCCCAGTTGCAAAGTTCCACTAGTATTTGTTTGAAGTACAAAGGTTGATCCGTCTTACAAATCAAGACGATCAATTTACAATCAACTTCTCGCAAAGTTACAAAGTTCTGCAAATTCTCGGCGTTTCCCGAAAATCCGGCAGAGTTCCGGCGTCTTCATGCGGCAGGAAGAGCTCTGGCGGTGGTCGAGGAGGAGCTTCTTCCTTCTCCTCCTTCTTCTCTTCTTCTTCTCTATCTTCACTTCTGTCCCCTTTGTGTAGAATGAGGGCTATGTTTATAGTTTTTCTGGAATGGCATAGCTCGTAAATAGGTGTGAGATCGTGGGTGAATAGGGAGTGGTTTGAATGGACGGCCGATATTGAACCCTTCGTTCGTGTACCGTTCGTTGGACATTTGAAGGCCTTAGTGATGTCGGAATTAGGTGATCTTGGGCTTGTTGGATTTTTCTCGTCCACTCTATTAGACAATCCATATTTCAGATAATGTTCATTTAGCATATAAGAGTTTTTCTAATCTCAAAATTGCATGATTTTAGGTTCATTTGATTCGTCTTATCAAGCTGTTTGATTTGACTATATGTATGCAAGATTTTAATTTTTTTTAATCCGACAATCAACATCCCATAGTTTTTTATCATACTTCAAGTGCTTGATTTGTACTCATTTGTATTTGGATTGGATCACTTTTGATGTCGTTGAGTTTTTCATGTCAAAAGGCCGATTAAGTAAATTTTCATAAGACGTATTAAGAAATACAACAGCTGCCCGCAAAGCAATACTGTGCACACTCATCATAAGAAATAAATTTAAGTCCTATGAAGTCTTAAAAAAAATAAATTTATTTTGAGCTAAATATAATATAAAATTTTATTAATTATTTATATATTAAACTCATATTACAATTAATTTAATAATTTTAAAATTTGTTCAGTAAATCATGAGCATTTATCTCCTGATTTCTTCTTTTTCTCATGCCAAATGCCAAGGGCAAGTCTGTTAAGTCACATTAACCACCTCTACTTCCTACTTAACTACAGTTAAATCTTCACGGTGAAACCAACCACAGTGATTAATGCTCAAACCCAGCTTCGACGGCCTATTTAAGCGTCCACCACTCTCTCTGTCTTCCCTCGCCTCAGTCCCGCCTTTTGGTTCTCTTCTTGCTCCCCGTTGCTCTCTTCCAAGAATACGCCGGCAACCGTCAAAAATCTCATTTTTTTCCCAACTCTTCCATAAAAACAACCCAAAATCTCATCTTTCTTCCACTCCTCCAAAACTCGCCAATGTTTCCCCCCGCCGACGACTCCCCTTCTATCCTCGTTCTCCTCCTCCCCAACACTACTGCCTTCTCCTTCCATCTCCTCCTCCTCTTCCTCTCCGCTGCCTTTCTTTTCTTTCCTGGAGGCATCGCATGGACTCACCGATCGCACATTCCAGGCCCCAGCTCCCTTGCTGCCGCCGTCGCCCTCTCCTCCACCACCGCCCACCGTGCCCTCGCCGCTCTCTCCAGTTCTCTCGCCGCCAACCGCCTCATGGCTTTCTCTCTTGGCTTCTCCCGTTTTATCATCTCAAGCCACCCTGAAACTGCCAAAGAGATTCTCAATTCCTCCGCTTTTGCTGACCGTCCAGTTAAGGAATCTGCCCGCGAGCTTCTCTTCCAACGCGCAATGGGATTTGCCCCATTTGGTGAGTATTGGAGGAATCTGAGGAGAATCTCCGCCACGCATCTCTTCTGTCCGCAGCGTATTGAGGCTTTTGGTGATCGCCGGCGGGAGATTGGGGAATGGATGGTGGAGGAAGTTAGAGTTTTGATGGGGAAGCAGGGGAAGGTGGAGATGAAGGGGGTTTTGCATTTTGGGGCTTTGAATAATGTTATGATGAGTGTGTTTGGCAAAAAAATTGATTTTGATAAGGGTGAGGGGATTGAGCTGGAGAAGATGGTGAGGGAAGGGTATGAACTTCTTGGGATTTTGAATTGGGCTGACCATTTGCCTCTTTTTCGGTGGATGGATTTGCAGGGTGTGAGGAGAAGGTCCAGGATTTTGGTTGGAAAGGTTAATGTGTTTGTTGGGAAGATTATAGAAGAGCATAAAATGAGAAGAAGGATTAATGGGTTTGGGGACTTTGTGGATGTGTTGCTTGATTTGGGGAAGGAGGAGATCTCTGATTCTGACATGGTTGCTATTCTCTGGGTGAGGTTTCTTTTTTCCCACTTTATTTTACTGTATACTATGCATCTTTCTTCAATTCAACTTTCTTATTCTTGTTGGCTCATTTGATATGAACTCAACTTATAGTTATGGATTATAATTTTTGAAGATTTTAATTTTTAAAGTAGCTTTCTAGTATAAAAATTGATTTTTTTTAACTAAAAAGATGTTTTAAGAAGCAGTAAGAAAGCCGTCCCAAACGAAATCTAAATAGTGTGATGTTTTCTAGAATGATCAAGTAGCAATTATGAATATAACTTGATATCTCAGTATTTGTGGGTTAAAATAAGACTTAAATGTCATTTATAACATTTTTAACTCAAGATGTCACCAAACCAAGTAGCTAACATTACATGGCTTATGACAAAAAACTAACCCACCCCCTAATTTTTTGGCCTTTTCACTTGATGTTTTTTTGGTCATTTATGAAAAACATGTCAATACAACAATGCTTCTGATTTTGGTGCATTAATGATGGGTCCTAAGAGTCACCTTGCATGAACATGCTTAATTTCAGGAGATGATATTTAGAGGAACTGATACAGTAGCTATTCTTTTGGAATGGATATTGGCAAGAATGGTACTGCACCCAGACATCCAAGCCAATGTTCAAGCTGAGATTGATGCCTATGTCGGCAAGTCCCGGGTTGTTTCTGATGCCGACATTCCCAACCTCCATTATCTTCAATCCATAGTTAAGGAGTCTCTCCGAATGCATCCTCCAGGCCCTCTCCTGTCTTGGGCTCGTCTTGCCATCCATGATGTTCATGTTGGTAATTACTTCATTCCTGCAGGCACCACTGCAATGGTGAACATGTGGGCGATCACCCACGACGAATCTATTTGGTCTGATCCTGATGAATTTAAGCCAGAGAGATTCTTGACAAATCATGTGAGCATAATGGGATCTGATTTAAGGATGGCGCCATTTGGTTCAGGCAGAAGGGTTTGTCCAGGGAAGGCTATGGGCTTGGCAACAGTTCACCTCTGGCTTGCTCAGCTTCTTCAGTCCTTCAAGTGGTTGCCATCAATTAGTGGGGTGGACTTGTCAGAATGCTTGAAGATGTCACTTGAGATGAAAAATCATTTAGTTTGCTGTGCAGTTCATAGGGATCCATGAATATCTTGCAATGCAGCTTATCCTGGGAGATCATACTGTTGCTTAATCACCATGTTTTTTAATCGATGGCTAGGTTTGGCATAAACTTGTTTTCAGTATTCTGTTTTGTCTTAGTGTTGGTAAGAAGGGCTTGTCATGTGTTCAAAGATAATGTAGAAGGTTATGTTGCATAATGTAGTTGTAAACAGCTTTCCATGATATACATAAAAGTTAGCTTTTTTTTTTAATCCATACTTTTTTTTGTTGCTCTTTCTACTCTATTACTGTTAATATGGATGACTAACATGCATCTTGAGGAGTTCATTTGGTTACTTGTAGATAGAAAACTTGATTTAGTAAATGTTGATTTTGTTTTCATTCATTTGATTTCCAATGTTTTCTTTGATATAATGTCCTGTTGTTATAATAAGAAATGTTTGTTTTGATGTTCTCTCTCATATTGAAGCAATTTGAAATCATTAGAAGTCAAAATTTATATGGTATTAATATTGAACAAATACATGCGATCTAGGTTGCCTCAATCTTAATGACTAAATGAGGAAAATTAAAAGAAAGAGCCTTGATCATGGTTAACTATTCTAGTTAATATTACATTTTTGGTAAAAGAGGAGATTATATTGCACTTACAAGATAACATCTTTATTTGAATAACATTGTGATAGGAAACTGATAGGAAATAAAAGAAAATATGAAACTTTGCTGCATAAATCAACAAAACCAGCACGCTTCCAAGCAGTTTTTGAGAGAAAAACACAGAATTAGTGGAGGGAAAACTTTTGATTTGATAGTGAATGAAAGGAACTAGTAAGATACAGTTGGATCTTCAATTGGAGAGGAAGATCCTGCTCTTCTCTCTAGCCAAAAACTAGTGCCTAAGCAAAACCATAAGAAAACACCAAATTCATAAAAAATCCTCATAACCCTAAAGCCTAGAACATAAAATACTACTTAAAGCAAAAGCAAACAACAATTCCCTAAACAACCCATAGAATTTGAATTTTTCCATCCCAAATCCTTCTTAATTAATGCCTCACCTCCCCCCCCCCCCCACACCACATCGAGCAGGTTATTCTGCATAGAATGATCCGAACTGCGATTCTAGGTGGGACCAGTTCAGCTGGCTCCTCAAGAGTCGGTCTAACACAAACACTAGTAGAAAGAGAGGAGAACTTGGCTTAAATTGGAATTTCAACAAAGTGCAAACATTATTTGAGAAATATTTTTATTGATGAAAGATGAAAGAAAACAAACAAGATACAATAGATCTTCAATTTTAGAGGAAGATTCGGCTCTCCCAATCCCTAGCCGCTAACTAGAGCCCAAACAAACCTAAGAACAATCTCAATTCAGTCAAAAACCAAAGATCCCTAACCCTAGGGAAAATATCCTACTTAATGCATACAAAAAATAAAGTTAACCCCTAAGCAATCCCTCTTTGAATTTTCCCTCCTAAACAACATTAATCCCTTCATAAAAGCTGGTTGTTGGAAGTCACGTAGAGGGAGCGGAACTCTTGTTTCGCCTCCAATAAAACAAAGCCGGTCCAGGATGGACCGATTGGACCAGTCTAATATGTAGATAATAATATTATTATCTAAATAGAATTCAACTAAACAGGCCTTCAACATTTTCCATTATTTAATTGTCATATTTTCAAACTTAACGCAACCATGTATATTATATCCGAGGGCAAATAGATAATCATCATATTATTGTAGTGCACCATGCACTTCTTTATCACTTGAAAGGATCACCAATTGCTTTCAATCTTTTATGCTATACTGACAAACACTTATTGCAACTAACTATTATTTATTTACAAAATGCCTCGTGCTTTGTAAGCCTACTTATCCTTTATGGAATTATGATTCTTCATGCTCAATAAAAAATATAACAAATATGTTGCAGGTCATTATCTATTAAAGAAATTATACTCAGACTTTCATTGATTTGAACTTTATTGTACAAATCAACTAAATGATTAAGGAATAAGAACAAAAACATAATGATTTGATTCCAATATCCTTCTCTTTTTGGGATCCAAATCCTACATAGAATATTTGGAGCTCTCAAAAGCTTCCATCTTTTTCATTCTCAAGTGGAAGAACATCCAAATGGCACCTGCACTTCCTCCAACTAAATACAACTGGCCTTTCTTCCTTATCTTGCTTACTCCCACTTTTATCGCTTTACTATTCCTAGCTTCTAACATTCCATATTTCTTTATTTGAAAATTTGTGTAATTATAAGAGACAAGAAGACAAAGATTTGGAAAATCTTTGATGGATTTGACCATTCTATTTGTTAAAGAATATGACATGCAAAGTGGAAAAAAATTGTGCCTATATTGATTTTAATATCGCTACTACGTGGGGTTAGCCTCATGAATATTTTTTCTCTAATGTGAGTCATTAAGAGACCACCTTTTTCTGAATGGTCGTGATTTTTGCAATGAAAGCAATCCAACCCTTGTTCTATTTCCCCTCTTGCCTTGGATGAATTATTCTGTGGATGCCGAACACCGTCCAAAGTCCAATGAAAATGGGCCACATCACCCCCTATTCGGTATTGCGACTCGGTACTGCTCGGTACCGAGCTCGGTAATGGATGACGTGGTTGCACCGGATTCGTCTATGGACAATAAGTTGTGTCCGGTGTCTTCACAGAATAATCTCTCCTTGCCTTTACTCAACAGTTCAGCAACAATGTAACTATAACAGGCCGTAGCACTGAAACTAATCTATTGTAGCAGCTTGTGATACTGTAGTAGCGATAGTGAGCCAAAAGCAGTGGCAGTGCAGCTAGTGCTATGACGAAGAACTGAACTCTGCCACTCTGGTTGAAGTAGGGTTTTAGGAGTGGAAAGGGTGGTAGGAAGACCATTGCTTGTTATTTTTGGAGAAATTTTAAGGAGAAAGAAATTCTAATTCTTGCATAGTTATTGGGAACTCCAGTCCTCAGCATAGAAAAAGTTCTGTTGATTTTAAAATGATTTTACAAGTATTCCATGCATCTGATTATGGATCAATACCCCCCTAATAATTTATTAAGGATTAATAAACTTAATTAATAAAAATTAAGGAGTGTACACAAATTTAGCGTTTCTAAAAGCATGAGATGAAATACACTCTTAGATTAATAAACTTTTCTTTTTAAGGTTGCGTTTGGGATAGCTTTCTTACTGCTTTTTAAAGCATATTTCTAGTATAAAAATTTTAATTTTTAAACTAAAAAGCTGTTTTAAGAAGCAATAAAAAAATATTTTCAAATGAAGCCTAAGTTAACATCAACTTATGTTAGTAAGGATTAGAAGAATAGAGTTAGTATACACATAATTACAAAACTTTAATATTGTATCAATAAATGTAAAAATTTATGATGATATATGAGCAAACATCTAACTACCTTATCATGCTCAAATTACCGTTAATTTGGCGATTTATGCAATATAACGGCAAAAATAGAGAGAGTTTAGTTTAGTTTAATCAAATTAGAGAGCCATTTTAGAGAGCAATGATTAAGTTGCCTCTAGTGTAATATGGGTCTAATTATTATGTACGGACACCGAACGGAGAGAACCGTCCGGATTTGCTGCGCTTTTACTGTTCTTTTGCTCCGCTTTTGCAAAAGGGCAGTAAAAAAGCATTCATAATTGAATATTTGCTGTCCTTTTGCAAAAAGGCAGCAAAAGCGCAACAAATTCGGACGATTCTCTCAGTCCGATGTCTGCACAGAATAATTTCTCCTACTATGGAGATCCCCATTTTCATGTACAAAAATAGTTTTTCTATGAATGCAGAAATAAGACTACATACATCAACCCTCAGGAACAGAGCCTGTATTAACAGAAGCTCCATGCAATAAGGATATTTTAAGCCTGAAAGTATGATGATGTGTGCAATTGATGGAGAATCTTGTTGATGCCTTGTTTTAAATGAAACATGCTTCCAACAACCTTTAACAGAACATGGTTGGCTTCTTTTTGTACAGTGAGCATCAATTATAATTTGATGACCTATCAAAACTTGATTTGCCTTTATAAACAGTTCTGCTATTTGGTCTACTATAGCTCTTTGCCAGCAAAGCTTGAAACAAGAGACATTGTTGGCAGCTTGGCTGAAATCATCATAATTTGAGACTGTGTACTATAAATGGTATACAACATATAGTTAAATTGGATATCTTTGGAATAGTTTCAAATCTATGGAAGAATCAAAAAATTTTAAGTCAGTTGTCACATATTCTTCTTTTTAAGTTTCTTATTTTTTTTTATTTTTATTTGCATTACTTCTTGCCATGTTGTTGTTAATCTACTTCTTTTTTTTTATTATTGTATTTATTTATCTTATTGGAGTTATTGCCCCCAACTTTTGTAACCACCAAGTTTTAAAAATTGGAAAGAATATAATCTGCTAAGTCTATAACGTTATTTTAGAGACTCTTGGGTTGGCTGAAAAAGAAATGTTGTATAAAAAGAATATTTGGTAGTTGTATGGATGAGTGTAAAAGAAATATATGAGATTATTATTTTTTTATTTGATTTGAAATAAAATAAATATAATGTTAAGTACAAAAAGGGTGTGGTATGTGGCCGACATTAACGGCGGTACTGGCCAACAGCAACAGCTGGTGAGGGTAGTGGCTCGTGGCGGCGTTGTTGGTGGCCGGTGATGTTTGGTAACAAAGATTTTTATATTTAAAATTTGAGTGATTATAGAGGAGTTTATAATTTAATATTAGCCATAATTTTAAGTTTGAGCTAAAGAAAAACTGATGAGTCAAATCTGGCTTGAATTTTAATCCGATGAAGTGAATCCATAACAAGATAATGCTCAACTTTGAGCTAAATTTGAGCACAATTTAAGATCAAATTGAATGATTTTAAGCTTATTCGGATTCCAAATTCAAATTATTTTAAGATCAAATGATCATTTGTTATATATAAATATTTAATGAAAATTTGAATATGACATTTTGAAAAGAACCTCAATTTGTTTATCATTTTATTATTTTTCAGCTTTTCCTTTTGGTCTCTTCTTCTTTCATTCTTTTGGCTTCTCCTAGCTATGGCCCCTTGTCATTTAACTAGCTTCCTTTATCTTATTTGGGCAATAGGCTCTTGAAAGAATAGACCATGGCATCAAGTGCTTTCTCTTCAACTATAAGTAGTGATATCTTATTGAGAAGATCCTTAAATAAGGATAAATTATTCTATGTTGACGCCGAT